CCTCCTTCTTGGCGCCGGGGATGATGAAGTATTTGGAGAAGAACTCGTCATAGTCCTTCCAGGTGCGGACGCGGTCGTTGGGGACGTTGTGGAAGACCTTTGTAAAGACTTCCGTGTTCGTGCGGGCGGTGCCCTCCCAGAGGTCCCAGAACTCGCGGGACATGGGGTCGCGGACGAGGCGGTCGGCGGGGGAGTCCCAGTCGTAGGTGTTGGGTCCGCGCTCGATGGAGGTCCAGTTGTCGTTGGGGCGGTCGCAGGGCTGGTCGGGGAGGAGGCCGAGGTGCTTGCGGAAGATTTGGCGGCGGAGGGAGGTGGCGAACTTGGAGGCCGTGTAGGGGCGTCCGGCCATCTCGGACTCGACGGGGGTGGGGTCCTCGATGACGACGGCGATCTCCGAGTCGTGGGTGCCGAGCTGGGAGCGGTCGTTGAGGTTGGCGGAGCCGCAGATGACGAGGTTGTCGTCGGCGATGAGGAGCTTGGAGTGGATGTAGAGCTCCTCGCTGACGAAGGCGTCGAGCTCGGCCTCGGGCTCGCCGTGCCAGGGGACCGAGTGCAGGCCGCGGCCGCTGTCCATGTAGCACGCCGAGACGGTGTCCCAGGTCTGATCCGAGACGCGGGACGCCGCCTCCTGGTAGCGCTCGTACTGGGAGTCACCGCGGGTGCCGTAGCCCTGGCCCTGCTCGCCGTAGCCGGCGCCGACGTTGTCGTCGTGTTCGCGGCGGGCATCCTCGTAGCGGACGCCGGAGCGGCCTTCGGCGTCGGCCATGGTGGAGGAGATGTTGATGCGGTCGTAGTTGCGGAGGTTGTAGAAGCGGATGTAGCGGCCCGGGTCGTCGATGCCGCCCTCGGAGCGGAGTGTCTCGATGATGGAGTGTCCGCCGCGGGAGATGGAGTTGTATTGGAACTCCATGATGGCGCGGGTGCCGAGGGCGTCGTCGGCCTTGAGGTCGCCGGCGAAGGCGGGGACGGCGGGCATGGCGACGACCACCTTGAAGTCTTCGCCATTTTGGTGGGCGCGGATGATGCGGTCGACAATGGCACGACCAATCTTGTTGGTGACGGGGTGCTGTTCCTTGCTGGTGGCCGTGATGAAGAACTTTGCCGTGTGTTAGAGTGCCTTGTGGATGAAGTTGTGGAAAAGGGGGTAGTGAGGTTTACCTGGTTTTCCATATAGACGTAGTGCTGGGCGTTGGTGATGGCATGCATGTAAGCATTCGCAATAGAGTGCTCGGTTGGGTGACCAGCAGACCACTCCGTGCAGCTATGATAGTCCGTCAGTAGCTTGATTTAATAGGATGAGGCTCATAATTACTAACCTTCGGGTGAGCTGAATGTTGGCAGCACGGTCACCACGGTCGATTCTACGGGGGCCTTCATCTTGGTTGTCGTCACTGACTGCCATGCGACTGATGCCTCGATTGATACGGTCAGAGAGATCGCCAAAGAGGTGGCTAGTATGGCCACCTCCGCCGAAGAAACCGCCGCTATCTGTCTCGTTCTCGGCGATTCTGCCAGCGTCCGCGTTGGCAGCACCTCCTCCGAGAGCCTGGTACTTTCCGGGGTTCTTCTTGCCATACTTCTCGCCATAGATGAAGTTCCTACTTATTGTCAATATACAACTCTAGACCCGTCGGGACCACTAGTTTGATACGGACCATCTATCAACGAAGTGGTCTGCCAGGTTAGCCACAATGGGCCCGCTCAAGCTGAGACTGACATCGGACCAGCCCATACGAGAGCTTTTGGTGCGGTCGACTGGTTGGATGTTAGCAAAGACAGGAGCAGATATCATTCTAGTGCTTACGCTTATTTTGCTCCCAGTTGTCAACGTCAGCAAAGTCGTAGACACGGGCGTTGTTGTAGTCTTGGCCGGGGAAGATGACGGCATCCAGGTTGCCGGGGTGAGCGTCCGCAATGGGATGGCCTGTTTCTGTTAGAGACGGCTCCCGGAGACCTGAGAGATGCTTTCGACTTACTGTTGGTGTCCCATCTACCAAAGCCTACGATACTGTTAGTGAGTGGCGTGTGTGCTTGGCATCATGACTTACACATATCAAGACCTCCCATGAAGGCAATCTTGCCGTCAATTAGGCAGAGCTTCTCGTGGTGAGCCCAGAATAGGGTGACTCCATCGGTAGCGGTACCGTAGATGGCCTTGATGGCGTCACCGGAAGCCTTGGATAGAGTGAAGGTGTTGACGTTCATGTTGGCGAAGTTCTGCTTGAGCTCAGCTTGGAAGTCGTATCCGGTGGGCACATGGTCAGGGTGTCGAAACACGCCAATGTTGGGATGAAGGCTTTCCAGGTAGGTCCTTGTGTGCTTGATGAGAGTGTCAGCATGACTCGAGTTCTATGGGCACACATTGTTGATATATTGATACAAGTGATGTTGACTTACAGAGGACTTGACTAGTTGACATTGGTCGTTAGTACGGCGTTCAGACGACTGCTCAGGGCCGGGGTCACTTACGGGTCAAGGCGGCTTCAACCTCCTTGTAGACGATAATGTTGATCTTGACACCCCTCTCGGCGGCAGCCTTGAGCAGGTTGTCGATGCGATAGCGCTCATTCTGAGAGGGAGGGCGGCGCAGGTACAGCTCTGGGCTCAGCCACCAATCCAAGATGTAAATGCTCTCTCGGGCCTCTGCAGCTCACATGGTCAGAGAAAGATGGTTGATGCTTAGGGGAATTGGTAAGATCGTGGTGCAAGCTTACGTTCGATAGCTTCGGAAACGGCCCAGAAGTATGAACATCCGTCGACATACCACTTGGCATTACCAGTAGTTTGCGGCGCAAAGGATTGGAATCTGTTCTCGGCGTGACCGGCGGGATGGTGCTCATGGCACTCGTGGCCTGAGTGAGTGTGGGCGTGTCGCTCATCCCCGAAAAGGGCGTCGATGCCCCGCTCCACCTTGCGAAAGATGTGATCCATGACGGCAGGAAGCTGCTTCTGAGCTGAAATGAGGCCGAAATAGGAGAGTGTGTGAACGCAATGGTGAAAGTGAGAAAAGAGAATGTGGGAGTCGTAAGAGTCTCAAACTAAGATAGGTGAGTGTCGTTGAAGGAAGCTTTGGAGGAGGAGGGGAACTCGGAGTTGGTGTTAGGTAAAGGCGGCGATGAAACAGGGTCTAGACAGCGACGTCAGAGGGGTAGGTGCATGTGAGTGCGAGGGGAGTTTGGGAGGTAGCCAACTGCAAGCTGAGATAGCTACGGATACCCTGGGTAGCACCTATTGTCCCCTGGTACTTTGCAGATGGGACCATGCACCTCAGGACCTCTGGACCCAGGTAGATGCGGTGAAGGCAGCTGAAGGTGAGACGACACCAGCGGATGGTCCGTGTGTCCGAACTCCCGTGAGTGGGTGGCCTTGAATGCTCGCACCTATGGACCTGCAACGCCTTACCTTCTTGTGTAGGTATCCTGGATAGGACGGAAGTCTCTTTTCCCTACCTATCTTAGCTACCTTATGTGAAGGCAATGAGGTACCTGACAGCAAGGTACTGCGAGTAGGTTGTGCAGCCTATCAAAGGCTCATGTCATGGGGGGGGGGGGGGGTTCAAGGGTTTCGGTGGGTAGCTGTGATTTGTCCGTCCGAAGCTGAATAGAATGTTCAATGCAAAGAAAGTAAGTTTGACCCCATGGAAATACTGATGTTGGAGGGGCAGTGTAGAACGAATACGGGCCATGGAGCAAACATGGTCAAGTGAGCAGATCGGTGCACTCACCTTACCTGACATAAGTCAATGTGTGCTGCTGCTGCTGCTATACAACTATAGTAAACCCGACAATACTACGACGCATGCTGCATGTAGATGGAATTGGCATCTTATCTTCAGCATCAGCTTTAAGCTTGTTTGCTCCACTTCCAAGACAGATCATCCAGGGGTCGAACGGCAGCTGGGCCAAGCACTCCGACTCGGACACGTGCCGTGCGTTTCCGGAGACAAACCACATCGTAGGGCCGAGTCCGGCTTAAGAAGCGGGTTGAATATGTAGGCATGTTGAGCGTTGATGAATGAGACACGGCTAATGGAAGCGAACATATGTGGAAGCAAAGGGATCCTACATACAGAAACCTGAAAGTCATTGCGGCTGCTAACAGCCTTTCAGGCATGTATCCGTAGGGCCGACGAAATCGGTTCTGCTTTATAGATTGGCGCTGCCAAGGTGAATTGTTGCAGGTGCTTACTTGGCTGAAATGTCACAATCCATCGCGTCCTTCCACTCTATGCGGGGGGCTGTTTCTCTGCCGGCTCCTCTACGCCCCGGCCCCTTGCGCCGGGGATTCCCTCGTAGCGGCTTCCTCTGCCTCTGGGCTCGGGCCACCAAGCCGCTAATTCCACCTTAAAGACACCCAGGCTGGACCCAATTGGATTTGGCAGGAGCCATCAAAAAAAAAGAACCTACCTGCACGAGTTGACTCTTGTCACCAATTCTTCCCCGTTGTCCTGATAACCTCAACGTCTCTCGAGTGCCCATTTCTCTACTTGTTTCCCGTTTCCTGACACTTTTGGCGAACCTTGTCCATATCAATTGACTCATTGAATCATACGGACAGCTCTCTTGAGCAATCTGACCACCTCACGCTTGCTCACGTCTCGTGCTGAGTCTCTTAAAGCTGAGGTGAGCTTTTTTGACAAATTTCCCCTCATCCAGTATTACAACAGACACGCGACCTCGCTGCGCCAACACGAGACAGACACCAAGTTACCCTGACTAACTGACTTGAAAGATACTGTGTGACCGGTCTCAATTGCGTGCATCTAATCACCATCTAGACCTCAGTAGCAGGACAGGGTCAGAGGCCGAATTTGCGCTGTTCCTGCGTTGTCGATCTCTACTAGCTCTTACTTTGTTCTGCTCTGGTCTGGCTTGGCTGCGCAGTTTCTGAGCCATTTGGCCCAATTTACGGCCCCTATCGTATTTCTAACAGACGATACTTTATTGAGACGGCAAAAGAGCACGCTACCTGCGCACGCACGAGGCAAGGGGGCCTTCAAGATGTCCTCAAGCTCGGGGACACCGTATATCTTCTCACCCGCGGACCACACCCACTTGATCCCCTACTTGGCAGCACTACATGCCGGCTGCATCAGCTCAGACCGGACTCTCGCGACCTTCTTGCCTCCTCTGTCACACGAGAAGCTTTTAGGATGGTGGAAGGAGCGCATAGCAGAAGTGACTGCAGGCACCCGCATGATGTTGATCCTCCTCGACGAATCCGACCCGGGCAGCAAGTTCAAGGGCACCGAGCTCATGGGCGTCGTGATGCTCTCCATGCCCTACTCCGAGACGGGCCCGTTCCGCGGCTTCGTCGAGAAGCTTCTCATCAGCCCCAAATTCCGCCGGCGTGGTGGCGCCAGGATGTTGATGAGTGCTCTAGAGGGTGAGGCTTTCAGGAGGGGGCGAACGCTGTTGGTAAGGAACTTCGAGCCATTGAACTATAGTCCTTGAGGAAAACGCTGACGGGATATGCTTAGATGCTTGATACCGAGGTGGGCAGCCCGGCAGAGGATGTCTGGAGAAAATTCGGATACGTCGAGGTCGGCAGAATTCCAAACTACGGCATCAGTCCGGCCGTTCCACGACAGTTGAAGGATCAGGTTTTCTTCTACAAGCAGCTCTCGACGTAGGGAGTTTCCATTTCCAGAGATTCCACGGCGTTGAGGGGTTTGATGGTCTGCTCTAGATAGTTTATTACAAAGACGGAGGCGACCCACGTCATCTATTGATTCCCGTGCGGACGAGGACGGGATTTGCAGAATCAAGTGAGATTCCGGTACGCATGACCCACCTTCTCGAGATCCCGACACCGTTGTTTCGAGGTGACCCGGCGTGCGAATAAAGCGTTGCGGGGCCAGTCGGAGCGGCTCGGCGACGGCTCTTCGGGATGATGCAATGCCGACATTGACCTTTTTTGCACTCCAACGACTGCGTATCGAGAACGTCGTGGAGGCAGGGTTGCGTGGGCGAAGGCTTGGCAACCAGATCGGTGACAGAGGTGACAGCTTACCAATACTGTCGATCGGTGCCGTGATCGAACCCCACCTTGGAATCGGGGTATCTGGGCACACTCACCTTTCCCAGCCGGGACCGAACTATTGCTCTTGGATGCGTGAGACGGCGAAGCTCGTTGGTTGAACGTCTCGGTGTGCACAGAGGCCGGAAAGCACGCCATATACCCACATTCAGATATCACAGGATTTCAGTGGTTATCAGTGATCACAGGCGCGGCACTTGGAGAACTGCAAGTTAGGCTCGTGGCAGAATGAGAGAAAGAGGGGAATATGTAAAGGCCAGGGGATCTCCCATCTCTTACAATCCCGAGACAGTCCTTGCCAAATAACTTATACACCATATCTACTCGGGTAGAATCAAGACAAAACTCAACGTCCCACATATCATAATTCACAGCAAGTCTTAAACAGGAACCATCTCACACTTCATTCAACATGTCCGCAATTCAAAAGAACGTCGAGGCCGCCTCGGAAACCTACTCGTCGACCTTTGACAAGGGCCACCTCGCCCTCCCGCCGGCGAAAAAGTACCTCGTCCTGACGTGCATGGATGCCAGGATCGATCCGGCGCGGGCTTTTGGTATCGAGCTGGGCGATGCGCACGTCATTCGCAATGTAAGCCATATATACCTCACAAAAAGCAAGTATTCACGCTAGATCCGCCTTCGCTCACTATGAGATGGAAAATCCTAGGCCGGCGCTTCAGCCGTAGACGCGATCCGCAGCATCGTCATCTCGCAGCAGCTCCTCGGCACGCACGAGATCGTCCTGGTCAAGCATACGGGCTGCGGCATGTTGACCTTCAAGAACGAGGATGCGTTTGGTCTCGTTGAGAAGAATCTTGGGTGAGTTGCCATGTTCACATCATCTCTTTTATTGCGTTAACGTGCTCTGGTCAGTGCCGAGGCTTCCTCGGAGGCGGCGAGCCGTATCCCAGACTTCCTCCCCTTCCCGGAGCTGGATGCGGCTGTCAAGAAGGATATTGAGTTTATCAAGGCGTCCAAGTTGGTGCCGGAGAGTGTTACTCTGAGCGGATGGGTTTATGAGGTTGAGACGGGGAAGACGAGGCGTGTTGTTTGAGGGTTGAGGGCTGTCAGTTTACTAGGTATCTTGGTGGGCTGGAGGGTGTAGAGAGGCGTTTGATTGTGTTGGTGCCTCAGGGAGTACTTGAATGTCATTTTGAGATATGAATGGGAGTGTGAGTGAAGAGATGATACGGCGATATGATTATTTATTTCGGATTCGGTCAACTTATGCCAGAAATGACATTATGGTTCTTCCTGCTATTGAGGCTATATCAATACTTAATTACCGTAAGGTACTTTAGGTAGGTAGTATATAAGAAGGTGGTGAGTGAAGGTTGACAGGTTGTGTCTTGCTTGGGCTTAAGGTTGTGGGTCTGGCTGACTGCTCCCGCTGGTCTGGTCTTGTGCGTAAATCTAGTGCTAATTACCGCGACACCTCGATTGGACAGGCGGGGGGCAGAGGCAGAGCGTGCAGCTGGCAGGTGCCGGGAGGTAAGGTACGTGCTTTTCCCCCGCTCGCGCCGGTACTCTGGCGCCACGCCGTAGGACGGGAGGTGGTAGTGGCCGCGAAGCACAGCAAGTAGGAGGGCCTGAGGCAGTAAACAAAGGGGGAAAGGCGCCAAGGGCCCCGACGCGGTCCAGTCAGAAAGAGCAAGGAGGTGTCGCGACTCCATTTTCCTTCACCCGTCAGGTTTCCCAATTTGTTTACTTGCCCAGGTGCCAAACATCAACATCCCAAAAAGGGTTGCTACCAACAACAAGGAAAATCATCCCGTCGCCCAATCCAGTCCTGACAAGATCGCAACACACAAACTCCCTTCACCATACCCTCCTTTCAATGTAAAAAGACCCTGCTCGAGCTGGCACACTCGCTCCCCTCCTCCCTCTCTTTTTTCTTATCAACTTTCGTGCCAATTGCGCGCCTGGTCCGCCCAGCTAGCCGTTTCGGATCAAATCTTGTCGTACCCTCCTCGTCCTTGTCTCGCCGAGCGATTCCTCGACCGTTTCCTCCATCACCACGTGTACCGACTACTACCGCGTTCCGAAATTTCTCGTGTTCCTCCCCGCGCCTCGGGGAGCGCATATTGTACAAGATGTCGTCCGACGAAGCGTCCGTGTTTAGTATGGGAGAGGAGTCCGACTTTGCGCCTGCAGTATGTTTGCTTCCTTTTTTCTGTCTGCAGAGTATTCCCGTCTCTGCCGGGACCCCTTCACTTTCACCCTCGTGCCCCTCATCGCAATCCGGGGAAAGAGCAGTCGTCGCGCCTGCCTCATCATGGGCCGTACCCAGATCTGGCGGTGCGCCGCGCCTGCTCTGCCTGCCCTTCACATTGACAGACTCTCGTTTGTCGCAAACCTTTCAGGAGGGCAATTCATAGCCGCGAGAATATTCTTCACGACTGCCCTCCGTCTACTTGCGCGAGCTCTTCACATTCCAAACCCCTACCAGCGGTCAAACTTCTGGCACCTTGCTACCTCCTGACCACCGCACCTCCTCTGCCCTCCCGGCAAGATGCCGATCCTACAGCGACCCAGCCAGTTGCCAACTGCTCCTCGGATCATCACGCGACCCAGTACTGACCCGTCACAGAAGCCCAAGGCAAAGGCAGCTGCCGTCAAGAAAGCGCCAGCGAAGAAGCTGACGCAGACTACACTGAAGACGAAAGCCGTACCCAAGAAGCGCGCGAAACCCGAGAGCGACGACGAAGATGGCGCCTCAACTTTCTCTAACACCCCGCCTAGCGCCAAGAAGCTTAAGAAAGCCCCCGCTGCGAAGAAGTCCAGTGGAAATCCCCTCTCAGAGATCGAGAACGACAGCGTGATGATCGACGACGAGGAGCCTGCCGCGCCAAAGACCAAGAAGAATGCCACCGATACCTACCAGAAGCTCACCCAACTGGAGCACATCATCAAGCGTCCCGATACCTACATTGGTTCCGTCGAGCCCACTGAACAACCCATGTGGGTTTTCAACAAGGAGACGAAGCTCATGGAGTACCGCAAAGTCACATTCGTCCCTGGTCTGTACAAGATTTTTGACGAAATTCTTGTCAACGCCGCCGACAACAAGCAGCGCGATGCCACCATGACTACCATGAAGATTACCGTTGATCGCGAGGCAGGCGAGATCTCCGTTGAGAACAACGGTAAAGGCATTCCCGTCGAGATTCACGGCAAGGAAAAGATCTACATCCCCGAGATGATCTTCGGTCACCTCTTGACTGGTTCCAACTACGACGACGACGAGAAGAAGACGGTCGGTGGTCGCAACGGTTACGGAGCCAAGCTGTGTAACGTCTTCAGTGAGCAGTTCACTCTTGAGTGCCAGGACTCCAACAACGGAAAGAGATACAAGCAGGTCTGGACCGACAACATGAGCAAGTGTGGCAAGGCGAAGATTTCCAGCAGCAAGACTAGCGACTTTGTCCGCGTCACCTTCAAGCCTGACTTCAAGCGCTTTAGCATGACAGGTATCGACGATGATCTGGAGGCTCTCATCAACCGTCGCGTCTACGACATGGCGGGTACTGTTCGCGGTATCAAGGTGTACTTGAACGGCACCCACATCAAGCTCGCGTTCAAGGGCTACTGTGAGATGTATGCCAAGGCCATCTCCAAGGAACGTGGCGCAGAGGAGGGCGTCGAGCCCAAGGTCGTTGTCGAGGTTGACAAGACCGATGCGCACCCTCGATGGGAGGTTGCTTTCACCGTATCTGACGGCTCCTTCCAGCAAGTCTCGTTCGTCAACTCCATTGCCACAACGTCAGGTGGTACACACGTCAACTATGTTGCCGACCAAATCACCGGCTCGTTGCTCAAAACTCTCGACAAGAAGAAGAAGGGCCACGCCCTCAAGCAGAACCATATCCGCAATCACATCTTTATCTTTGTGAACTGTCTTGTCAACAACCCAGCCTTCACTTCCCAAACAAAGGAGCAAATGACCACCAAGGTCAGCCAGTTTGGTAGCAAGTGTCCGCTCACTGAGGAATTCCTAAAGAAGATCGCCAAATCAGACGCCATCCAAAACATCATCGACTTTGCCGAGAAGAAGGCGGACAAGATGATGGCCAAGAGCGACGGAAACAAGCGATCCCGCATCAGCAACGCGAAACTAGTTGATGCTAACTTGGCTGGCACTCGCCACGGCCATGAATGTACACTCATTCTCACCGAAGGTGACTCTGCCAAGAGTTTGGCTGTCGCCGGTCGTGCGATCCTGGATCCCGATCGCATCGGAGTCTTCCCCCTTCGTGGTAAGATGCTCAACGTGCGAGATGCGTCCATCGACCAGATTACGAAGAACGCCGAAATCCAGAACATCAAGCAGTTCATGGGTCTCAAGCACAAGCAGACATACACCGACACCAAGAGTCTGCGATATGGTCACCTGATGATCATGGCCGATCAGGATCACGACGGTTCTCATATCAAGGGTCTTCTCATCAACTTCTTGCAAGTCCAGTACCCGTCCTTGCTGCAGATTCCCGACTTCTTCCGGGAGTTTATTACTCCTATCGTCAAGGTCTGGCAGGGACCCAATCCGAAGAAACCCCAACGCCTCAAGTCATTCTTCACTCAACCTCAGTA